TTTTGAGACAGGGTCTTGCTATGTTGCCCAGGCTGGTCTCACCAAACTCCTGGGCTGAAGCAATTCTCCCTCCTCAGCCTCCCAACATGCTGGGATTACAGGCATGAGCTGCTGCACCCTGCCTAGAATGGACTTTCTTTGTCCGTCTGTCATCTTAGAAAACCTGCCAAGCTCCTGGAGTCCCTGTGTTTCTTAAACAGCTGCTCCGCAAGGTCCCCAAGAAAATTTTGGTTTTACCACATTTTAAAATTTTGGAATAATTTTAGATTTATAGAAAAGTTGCAAAGCTAGTACAGAAAGTTCCCATTGTAAGTGTTTTCTATTACTAGGGTACACTGGACGAAACTAAGAAACTGACACTGGTACAGCGTTATTCAGTCAACTGCAGCCCCCCTATAGATTTAGCCAGTTTTTCATTCGTATCCCCTTTCCGTCCTAGGATCCCATCCATCTTCCCACGGTGCATTTGGTTGGTGTTTCTCCCCAGCCTCCTCTCCTCTGTGACTTTTTTTTAGTCTTCCCTTGTTTTTACAACCTTGAAAGTTTTGAGAAATGCTGGCCAGGTCTCCTGTGGAACGTCCCCCAGTCTGGGTTTGTCTCATGTTTTTCTCGTGATTAAACTGGCAGTGAAGGGGAAGAATGCTGTAGGGGTGAAGCGCCCCCTCGTGGCATCATAGCAGGGCACTCGTGACAGCCTCATGACGTCCTGGTGACGTTACCTTTATCACCTGGTTAAGGTGCTGTCTGCCAGGTTTCTGCACTTTAAAGCTGTTCTTTTCTCCTTTCCCTGCGCTGTTCTTGAGAAGAGAGTCACTAAGTCTCCCCCAGCTTTTCATGATGAGGGGGTGGGGATAAGGTCTACCTTCTAGAAGAGAGTAGTATCTACATGTATTATTTGAAATTCTCTGGCCGGGTGCGGTGGCTCACGCCTGTAATCCCAGCACTTTGGGAGGCCGAGGCGGGTGGATCACGAGGTCAAGAGATCGAGACCATCCTGGTC